AGCAGACAGAGGCCTAGAGAGGGAAGGGCTTAGGGACCAGAACAGAAGTGAGGAGTGCAGGAGAGAGCAGCAACCCTAGAAACACCAGGCTGTTGGCAGTGACAACTGAGATGGCAGCCTTCACATTCCACTTTTTAAAAAAAGATTTATTTATTTATTTATTTGAAAGTCAGAGTTACAGAGTGAGATGGAGAGAGAGAGGAGAGAAGGGGGGGGGAGATAGAGATAGAGAGAGAGGGAGAAAGCGAGTGCTCCCATTCGCTGGTTCACTTCCCAGATGGCTGCAACGGCCAGGACTGGGCCAGACCGAAGCCAGGAGCCAGGAGCTTCTTCCAGGACTCCTATATGGTAGCAAGGCCCCAGCACTTGGGCCATCTTCTTCTGCTTTTCTCAGGCTATTAGCAGAGAGCTGGATTGCAAGTGGAACAGCTGGGACTCGAACAGGTGCCCCAAAGGGATGCTGCACTGACAGCAATGTAGGCCCCACATGTTACTTTTTACAGGAAGCCTTCTCTGATCAGAATGGCCTTCTACCAAATTAAAGGTAGCAGCCTCGCTACGTACTCCCATAGGACACTGTTCTACTGCTTTACGCATTTCTACACTCATGGCAGGGTTCATTCATTCATCCAAAAATATTTATTGAGGACTGAGTATCTGACCTAGTGACTAACCTTCTGCTTGGGATGCCTTCATCCCATGTCACAGTGCCCTGGGTTTGTGTCCTGGCACTGCTCCTGATTCTACTTCCTGCTGATGTACACCCTGGGAGGCAGCAGGTGATGGCTCAAATAGTTGGTTCCTGTCACCAAAGTGGGAGACATGGATGGAGTTCCTGGCTCCCAGCTTCAACTTAGCCCAGTCCTGGTCTCTGCAGGCACTTGGAAAGTAAGATAGCAGTGGGGGCCAGTAGGTCTATCTGTCTCTGTCTTTCAATAATTAAAATTATATATATATATATAATATATTAGGTGCCAATACATACTGTGGACATGTGGGCTCTGCCTAGGGCCAGATCTGGAGCCCAGGACTCCCTGGGGGGTATGAGCCACTGCTTGGCCAGTGTTTCTTCTGCAAAGATGCAGAAGGCTGTCACTGCCTCCCTGTGCTCTCTGGGTGACCTCCAAACACCACTAATGAATAAAGTCATCAGAACTCAGCAGCTCAGTTTGGTGCCTGTGGCGTCAGATATCCAAGATCCAAATTACAACTCACATGTGGCCAGTGACGGACATTTCAGTGTTTATACCACAGTGAGCTCATTTTTTTTAAAGATTTTATTTATTTATTTAAGAGGTAGAGTTACAGACAGTGAGAGGGACAGAGAGAAAGATCTCTTGTCCATTAGTTCACTCCCCAGATTGCTGCAATGGCCGGAGCTGTGCCCATCCGAGGCCTGGAGCCAGGAGCTTCTTCTGGGTCTCCCATGCGGGTGCAGGGGCCCAAGGACTTGGGCCATCTTGTACTGCTTTCCCAGGCCATAGCAGAGAGCTGGATCGGAAGTGGAGCAGCCGAGACTAGAACCGGCGCCCATATGGGATGCTGGCGCCACAGGCTGAGGATTAACCTACTGTTCCATGGTGCCAGCCCCTGAACTAATTTAAAAAAAAATGATTTTATTTATTTATTTATTTATTTGAGAGGCAGAGTTACAGACAGAGAGAGGGAGAGACAGAGAGAAAGGTCTTCCATCTTCTGGTTCACTTCCCACATGGATGCAATGGAGGAGCTGGGCTGATCAGAAGCCAGGAGCCAGGAGTGTCTTCCGGGAATCCAACGGAGGTGCAGGGGCCCAGGCACTTGGGCCATCTTCCTCTGCTTTCCCAGGCCATAGCAAAGGGCTGGGCTGGGACATGAACCAGCGCTCATATGGGATGCTGGGGCCGCAGACGGAGGCTTAGCCTATTTACGCCACAGTGCAGGCCCCCACAGTGGTCCCATTGAATCCTCTGTGCTTCCTGGTGGGCTTGCATGATTCTGCCCATTTGCTGGATGGAGACATTGATCAGAAGAGAAAACTGCCCAAGGTCATCCAGGGTCAAGACTTCAGCCAACGTCCTGCTGACTCTAGATTCCTTTCACTTGCAGTAGACCAGTGATTTTCAAATATCCAATATCATTCCATGGAGACCCAGGGGTAGGCTACAGGAAGTGGATGAGGAGACGAAGGAGAAGTCAGGCTTCTCCCCACTTTACTCTCAGCTGCTCCTACATCAGGGTGCTGTGTAAAGGTGGATTGTAAGAAGATCATGTTCCTTTATTTGAAAAGCAGAGAGCAGGGGAGAAAGAGAGCACTGAGAGAGAGAGAGAGAGAGAGAGAGAGAGAGAGAGAGAGAGAATCTTCCACTACACTGGTTTACTTTCAAATGCTTGCAACAGCCAGGGCTTGGTCAGACTGAACCAGGTACTCTATCTGGTTCTTCTGTGTGAGTGGCAAGGACTCAAGTATTCGAGCCATCGCCTGCTGCTTCCCAGGAGCATCCGCAGGAGGCAGAGGTGGAGGTGGGACTTGATTGCAGGCACTCTGATATGGAATGTGTTCATCCCAAGTGGCAGCTTAGCCTGCTGTGCCACAATGCCCTGCCCCCAAATTTGTGTTTCTAATAACACATTTTTGGAGGACTGCCTCATGCCATTTTTCTCCCCTGAGGATGGGGCTCAAGCTTTCCTTTTGCTGGGAGCCCCTGTTCTCTGTAGGGGCAAGAAGATGGCATCAGCCTCGGGAGAGCAGCACAGGCTGGGAAGGCGGAAGACTTGGGTTCATATTCTGGCTTTGGTGTGCCTTGGGTCAGCTGTTTTCCTCAGCCTTCTCATCTGTAAAAATGAGGGGGTTGGCTCCAATAGTCCCTAAAATGAAGTTTAATCTGTGAGTCTGGGGTACTATGCTCAATTCACTAATTTTTAAAAGGATTATTTTACTATTTATTTTAAAGACAGAGTGACACAAGGGGGAGATACAGAGAGAGAGAGAAAAAATCTTCCATCCGTTGGTTCATTCTCCAAATGACCACAGTGGCCAGGGCTGGGACCGGCCAAAATCAAGAGCCTAGAACTCCATTCAGGTCTCCCACTTGGGTGGCGGGGCTCCTAAACACTTGAAACATCTGCTGTTTTGCAGGCACATTAGCAGGAAGCTGGATCAGAACTAGAACAATGAGGACTTCAGTCATCGTGGGCGGTGGCTTATCCTGCTATGCCACAATGCCGCCAAGGCCCCAATTTATGAAATCTTAAACTGAGGCAAGGCAGCTAAACCTGTACAAAAGGGTGTAGTTTCATTTGTGTGTGCATTTTTCTGGAAGGAGTGTCTATAGCATTCATCAGAGTTTTAAAGGGTCCGCGGTACAGAATCTCTGGTTTCCTTGGACATTTTTTCATTTTGGCAGAATTGCTGGACAATCTTTTTCCTCTTTTTGGAGTGTATCAGGTCTTAATAATGATATGAGGAAGCTATTTGCAGTAAGGAAACAAGGGCAGCATACAGAGATAGGCAGAGCTAAATGATGGGAGCTAGATGAGAGTGAGAGATGGAGTAACCTAGTGATCTTGCTTAAGCCCCTGGAATCAGCCATACCTGATAAGCAAACAATTTTCAACTATATGAACTACTGGCTTCTCCTCCTTTAAGGATTTTCTTTTTAATCACTTTATAGAATAAATGACTGATATTATTGAAGGGGGCTCTTGCCAGTTGAAAAATTATGAAGCTCAACTTTGAAATGTATATGATAGGGGAGGGAAGTTCCTCCTGCTGAAGCCCAGAAGAAAAATGCTTCCTGTTTTGTTCCCCATCTCTTACTCTCCTCACAAGCCATGGGGGGGAGGTGAGGGAGTGGTGGGGGTAGCGGGCACAGAAAAGATGTTAGAATCAACCTCACCACTACAGACAGGAAATCCAGATCCAGGTGGGGGGTGGGTGGGATTTTCTTCTGGTCATACAATCAGGGCCGAGCCTAGAAAGCGGTTCCTTCTCCAGGGCCACTTCACCTCTCAGCCCGGTCTGCCTTAGCACTTCTTTTTCGTGCAGCCTCATCTGCAGTTAGAAGAGCTCAGAAGGGTTCTTGCGCCCCCCTGTGTTGGTTGAGCCACAAGGATTCCTACCTTACTCAGTAACCTTCGTGGTCTGGATTTGTTTTCAGGGTCAGTGGGCACACACAGAATGTTTGGCCTGGGGATGTACATGGGAGGGGAAGAGAAAGGCATCAGCCTCTTTCTCTGCCCCGTCTCGTCCACTCTCAGGGGACAGCCCTCACCCTAGGGTACTGACCAGGCAGGCCTACCTACAATTGGGAACCACCTAGGGTTCAGTTTTGCTATAAGGAGATGCTGCAGGGAGCCACTTTCACCCTATAGGGCAGACTTGTTCAGCCCCGGAGGGCAGGCGTGGCAAAGACAGAAAAGGGACCAAGGGGATCCAGCACCAACAGCTGCCCACAGGGCCAGCGGAGAGCCCAAGATCTAGGGCCGGGGCAGACCTCCAGGGTCCACGCGCTCAGAGACCACTCAGAGCCGCACAGGAGAAATGATCTTTAATGTCTTTGTTTCCAGCCCCCGCAAAGTGCTATCAATTCAGTGAAGAAAAAGGAGGGGCTGGAGAGGTATGGAGTCACGAGACACAACAGCGCCCGCCCACCTCCTGGGCGCACACTCGCTCTGCCCGCACTCGCGCGGGCGCCCCCCTCACACGCTCACATGCAGGCCACACGCACACCGCACAGACACACACACGTGTACCCAAGGTTAAATACATGTAGCGAGGGACTCGTTTCTATATACAGAGAGAGAGAGAGACGTCTTCCCGGCAGGCATCGGTCCCCCGGGCTCTCAGCATGCTCGGCCCAGCTCTCTGCGCTGTACCTGGCACCCATGCCCCGGCCAGAAAAGCGGCTGCCCCTCTCCCCGCCCCCCGCCCCCGCGGCCACTGCCCTCCCCCCTCCGTCTCCCCTCCCCCCACACCAGGATCGCCTCCCCCGGGAAAGGGAGCTGTACGCTGGGGGCCCCTAGAAGTGCCCGGGCGCCAGGGGCATGTTGCTTTTGAAGCCCGGTTGCCCGTTGGCCACGTCGGCCGCAGACTCGCAGCCGCCGTTGCTGGAGCCCCCGTCTGTCCCGGGGCTCTCGGGGTCGGCCAGGAGCTTGAAGGTGAAGAGCTGGCCCGAGTCGTGGCGGCCGCGGCGGCCGGCGGGCTCGGGCGCGGGCAGGCTCAGCAGGGCGCCGGGCGCCTTCCACTCGGGGAAGGCGTACAGCTCGACGGGCGGCTGCGCGCCGCGGCCCAGGTAGCCCGGGCTCGGCGAGGCCGAGGGCAGGGTCCGCTGGCTGCCGCTCAGGCAGCTGCCGCTGTCGTCCAGCGAGTCCTTGCGCGACTGCGAGCGCTCCAGCGAGCCGCCGCGCGTCCACGGCCGGTAGGTGTAGGCGCAACCGCCCAGGCGGCGACGGCGACGGCGGCGGCGGCGGCCGCGGCACTGGCACCCGAGGATGCGCACGAAGGCGCGCTTGAACTCCTTGCTGGAGCACGGGTAGATGATAGGGTTGAGGCAGCTGTTGAAATAGCCCAGCCAGAAGACCACCTTGAACACGGCGTCGGGGGGCTTCAGGGTGGAGAACAGGGAGCCTGCAGAGGGCGGAGACAGACGCCAGCCATGAGTACTCGGGCCCTCCCCTCCCGTGTCGTTGTGTCCTCAGTAACCCGGGCCCAGGGGTTAGCGCACCTGCGCCAGGCCCCGCCCCCTCCCACAATCGCCTTCGCGCTTCGGAATGAACGACTCCTGCACTCATTTGTAGGGCGAACCTAAGGGCCTTCCCTCGTGTCGGTGAAGCCTTTCCGGATCTAGCTAGGCAGCCCCCAAGCTCCTGCAGGTACAGATTTCCCAGCGATGATAATCACCCGGAAATGTGCGTCTCTTCTGGGTCAGGCACCGTGCTAGGCGCTTTGCCTGCATTATTCTATCCTTTCCAACAGGCCGTGATTCGTTTCCAGTGCAAGTAGGAGACGTGTGAAAGACCACAACGCAAAAAATAAAAGGTTAAAGGAGTGAAGAAAAACGACGTAGCACTTAAAAATGTAGAAGAGGCAAGAATGGCAGTAGATATCTACAATGTCCAAAACCCTCTAGGAAGTGATTATTTAGAATATACAGAGAACTCCTGCAAATCAATAAGAAAAAGACAGCGTTCCCCAGCCCCTCCACTCAGACATGTGGGCAAAGAAAATGAACAGGCAATTCACAAGCCAAGAAATCCAAGAGCTAAGAAGCCTATGAAAAGATGCTCAGAACACTGGCAGTCTTGTGATTATAAAGCAAATCGAAAGTATGTCATGGCAAAAATTAAAAAAAAAAAATAAGGAGGGAGAATGGGGAGTATCGTCAGGCTCTTAAAACTGTATATATGAAATACATGAAATTTGTTCCCATATATAGATTTTAAAAAGTAAAAAAAAAAAAATGGGGGGGGATAAAATGAAAGCCACAAGAGATATAACGTATCTGTTAGGCTGGCAAAACTTAGGGAGCTGGAGGGTTCTAAGCATAGGCAGGCGTGTGGGGACACGGGGCACTTTCTGTACGGCTGGTGGGACACAGGCTGTGCAGACGGAGAGGACTCTGGCACCCCTTGGTCCAGTCAATATACTCTTTGAAACTCACCCATTCTGCTCCAGGGCACTGATCTCAAATTTTTAACAGGTCTGAAAGGGGGTGTGCATGAAGATGCTCATGGCAGTGCTGTTTGTAGTGATAGGGAGTTGGGGAGAACCTGGTGTCCCTCCCTGGGCAAGCAGAATGGAGTACAAGCATACAGGGAGATTACCCAGCACTGAGAGGCCCAGGACGACATGGCCACAGAACAATGCCAGAAAGATCTTAGACATATTGTTCTTGAGAGAGAGAGAGAGAGAGAGAGAGAGAGAGAGAAATAGAATGAGATTTATGACATAATACTATTTAAGTAACTTACCAAACAACCATGTGTCTTTTGCAAAAGCTTTTTAAAAACCATCTGAACACAATGTCTGGCTAGGGGTGAAGGCAGAGAGACATGGGAATGGAAATGGGAATAAAAAGAAATAAATTAATACAATAAGAGCAAGGCCTGGCATAAACTGATGACCATGAGATGTTATAAAACGAGAAATATGATTAATTCCCCCTTCTCAGAATTTGAGATCCAAAAACACTTTCTGGCCATATTAAATTAAAAACAATTTCCATTTTAAATATAATGCAACTAAGACTTGGATAAATTAAGTGGCTTGCCCCGGGTCACTCAGCAATGTTTGTAATATAACTGGGATTTAAACTAAATTCTATTTGAATATAAAATGTTTTTTAGAGATGCTATTAATAATACTCTGGAAAAATTAGGAAATGTAAAAATGCAAAAAGAAAAGATGTTTTAAAAGCATAATCCTGGGGCTGGCACTGTGGTGTAGCAGGTAAAGCCTCTGCCTGCAGTGCTGGCATCCGATATGGGTGCTGGTTCAAGTCCCGGTTGCTTCACTTCCAATCCAGCTCTCTGCTATGGTCTGGGAAAGCAGTAAAAGATGGCCCAAGTCCTTGGGCCCCTGCACCTGCGTAGGAAACCTGGAAGAAGCTCCTGGCTCCTGGCTTTGGACTGGCCCAGCTCCAGCTGTTGTGGCTACTTGGGGAGTGAACCAGTGGATGGAAGACCTCTCTCTCTCTTTCTCTCTCTCTCTCTGTGACTCTGCCTCTTTGTAACTCTGCCTTTCAAATAAATAAATTAAAAAAAAAAAAGCATAATCCTGGCCAGCACTGTGGCTCAATAGGCTAATCCTCCACCTGTGGTGCCGGCACCCCGGGTTCTAGTCCCGGTTGGGGCGCCGGATTCTGTCCTGGTCACTCCTCTTCCTGTCCAGCTCTCTGCTGTGGCCTGGAAGTGCAGTGAAGGATGGCCCAAGTCCTTGGGCCCTGCACCCTCATGGGAGACCAGGAGGAAGCACCTGGCTCCTGGCTTTGGATCAGCGCGGTGTGCCGGCCGCAGCAGCCATTTGGGGGGTGAACCAACGGAAAAGGAAGACCTTTCTCTCTGTCTCTCTCTCTCACTGTCCACTCTGCCTGTCAAAAAAAAAAAAAAAAAAAAAAGAAAAAAGAAAAAAGAAAAAAGAAAAAAAGCATAATCCTATAATATGGAAAAAATCACATTTTGGGACATATATTTTCAGGTTCTAGAAAAAGAAAATTTTATATTATTTTCATTTTATTTGAAAGCAGACACACACACACATACACACACATACACACATACACACAGAGAGAGAGAGAGAGACAGAATCTTCTGTCCACTGGCTCACTTCCCAAATGCCCACAACAGCCAGGGCTGGGCCAGCCTGAATCCACCATCTGGGAACTCAGTCTGGGTCTCCCACATGGGTAGTAGGGACCCAAGTACTTAAACCATCACCTGCTCTCTCCCAGGGTGTGAATCAGCACGAAGCTGGATTAGAAAGTGGAAGAGTCAGGAATCCAATCAGGCACTTCAATACTGGATGTGTGCATTCCAAGTGGCAACTTAAATGCTGCAAAAACATCTGCCCCCAGGTGTTATTTTTCCTGTTGTATACACCTATTTAAATGTTTTCAAAAATGGGACTATACAGGACATTTTGTACCTTCAAATTATGTCCCTAACCCTGCTACATGGTCTGGAATATAGACATTGTCTTTCTTGTCTTTTCGCCTCTGTTAGACTTGAGCTTCCCAAGGACCTGGTCTTTGGGCTCACCTTTGAATCCATTTGTGGAATGCAGGGAAAGCACTGGTGTATCTGAACAGAAAGAATCTTAACAAGCATCATTTCTCAGATGGAGACACTGAGGCCCAGAAAGTGACTGCCAGTCCCACAGGTGGTGGCGCAGATGCCACAAGAATTCCTATCTCTGTCTTTGGATGGTGTTTCTCCCGTGTACTGCTTACTTTCTTGTGTTTTTATGGTTTGGTCTGCTGCTACAGGGAGCTCCAACTCCTACTTTTCTGCTTAGCAACCCAGCGGAGGAGAGCTGGCGGGGTGCCTGGAGCAGGACTCAGCCAGTCAGGGGTTATCCACAGCTGATGTGAGCACTCACTGTACATACTGACTCTTCTCAACTGAGGGGGAAATGTGGGATGGGCCACATTGTAGGTTGCTCAAGGTAAGGCAGATGAGGGCATCATCTCGTAGTCTATGACAGGGTTCACACCATTGGGCCTGTGTCCCACCCTTAGGAGTAAGACACCGAAGGTCCCAGGTAAAATAACTATGGTGTACGGACACCTACTGTCTCACGACGGGCATGAGTTGTCTCTTTGTGATGGCTTGTTTGTCACTGATTCTGAAGGGCGGAGGAAAGGGGAGAATTACTTTTAGGGAAAAAGTACAAAGAAGCTAAACCTTGGGAGCACTGTGCACTACCCCCAGGAAAGTGGATGCTGGTGAACGTGTGTATAGGGAGCACATCCCTTTGTTTGAGGCCACATAAAATCCAGGAGAGATCACTGGGGGTACTGGGGTACTGGGGGTGCAGTGACAGTCGTGGTCAGAAGTGGGGAGGATCCAGAGCAGCAGAGCATACTTGCTGAGGACAAACTTGTAATTTTGTTCTGTGAAATAGGCAATGAATGGATTAATGAGGATGCACCCTAAGGGACTAGATCTTTCAGAGGCCACAAATAACAGGAATGCTATCAGCAAGTATTTATCATACCCACCATGTATGTTGTGTGCATGCTCTGCAGGTCCTGTGCAAAACTCTTTACACCACTAGCTTATTGATACTCACAACACTTGGAAGGGAATATTGAGCAAGATAGAATCGCTAGTTCCATTTTTTTTTGGATCAGTTCATCAGCATACAACAGTGGTAGCTATTTAAGTTTCTATACATCCATTCATTTGTTATCCATTCACTTACTCCACCAATACTGAGTTCCTATTAAGTGCCAAACACTAGGACAAGCAGTGGGGAAAGAGATGAGTTTGAGGTGTGGCAGCTAACAGGCATGGCAAGAGAACACATGTGGTGTTAGGACACAGGCATAAATATCACTCTGTCACCCTGGGGGCATATTTTGGGACTTTTTTTTTTCTTGGGTGCTCCTTAACTCGATCACATAAGGAGCACCTGGCCAAGGACAGCCAGCCTGGCTCCTTGCCTCTATTTTATTACAAAGTACTCTCAAAAGATCATGCTCTTGAGAAGCGTACAGCCTCAGGGGATGTTTTCTCATGGGCATTTATGGCCATCTCTTACTTGCAGTTCCTGCAGCTGTTTCCTCCCCCAAGAGGAGGCCCTTCTTTGCCATTGGCCAAAGAGCTCAGGCTTTGAGATGACCCAGACCTGGCATTGAGTCCTCTCTTTATTTTTATTTCATTTTTTAATTTTTTAAAAGATTTTATTTATTTATTTGAGAGGTAGAGTTACAGACAGTGTGAGAGAGAGACAGAGAGAAAGGTCTTCTCTCTGTTGGTTCACTCCCCAGATGGCCACAACAGCCGGAGCTAAGCCGATCCAAAGCCAGGAGCCAAGTGCCTCCTCCTGGACTCCCATGCGGGTGCAGGGGCCCAAGCACTTGGGCCATCCTCCACTGCTTTCCTGGGCCACAGCAGAGAGCTGGACTG